TAGGATGATTATACAACCTAATGTAATGATACTTAAGAGTTTTAATATCATAAGATAAATTTAAGTAAACCATTATAAAATAGCCCATAGAGCTAATAAACGAAAAATAAAAAAATAAAAAAAATAAATTTATTTTTAAAGATGAGCAATACTATATAATTATGATATCCCAAATTATTGTAGTTGAAGTATTAAAGAATAAAAAAAAAAATAAACAAAATAATATAAAAAAAATAGATAAATAAATGAATAAAAATGATACACAAAAAACTGTCGGGATTTGTTCCTACTAGGTAGAACTGTCAGAATCAGTTCTATGGCAACACTGTTTTAGTGATAAAACTATCAGAATCTGTTCAAGATATAACTGTCCAAAACTGTTCTAGGTTCGAAATGTCTTTAAATAATTAAAAATAGCAGCCATATAATTTATTATAAAAGACGCGCATTTTGTCTACACCAGGCTCATTAGTGACGCTCGAATCACGATAGTTGAAAGATCAAATCAAATACGACGTTGAAGTCCATTGAAATAAAAAAAAAATGCGAAATGTAGTAGACCAAGTAATGTAGAACTGCTTATGTTAGAAACTGTCCTCAAGGTGTCAATAGAACTGTTCTAGGAATTGTTCTAGAACAGTTCTCATGACAGTCCATGCCAGATTTTAAAATAGGTTAGAACTGATCCCAACTGTATGTCTCTTGTTTGTTTGTGTTTCGGGTAACTAGTAGGTTCACAGACCAACAAAAGCTGTATTTGTGATCTGTTCCTGCACACTTTTTTTGCATAAATTAGATATGCTGAGCCCGTAAATCAATGTTTAATGCTGGCAGCCATCCGTTAAATATTTCTCAGTTGATACTCCATAGATCCTTTTATTTGTATGAGAGCGAATTTGAATAATAATCGATCATTAAATTCTCTTTTATTTTTTTTTGTATAATTTTTTAAGATAACTCGATATATTTTACGAAATATAAAGACCTCAATATAGAAATGAGGAGATGTTGTACGAATACGAATATGTTGTATGATTGTCATAAAGACAACTACATGTATACATGACTAGAGACCAAAAGAAGGGGATGTTAACAACTATGGGTCGCCGTATGTATCGTTTTTTAACAATGGACAAAGCCAATACCGTATAGTAAGTTATACATATCCCCGGCATAACGAAATGTAAAACAGTTCAACAAACAAACAGCCTGATTATTGCTGGAAAAAATAAACGAAAATTAATGTACTTGCATTTTGCCAGTATAAGTAAAGCGAGATATGAAAAATTCTGATTCTGATATGGAAATTCCAATGTTTTCATTGAAATAGATGCACTAACTATTGTCATAACGACAGTACTATTGAAGACAAAAAAGTAAAAAAAAATCATACAAACAGAAACCAATAACAAAAAACAACCACACACATATTCTTTCGATAACATCTTTTTACCTTTAAATAGTATAGAAACTTTAAGTAGGGTCAAGCATGAAGTATATTATCAATCTATATGATAAATATAACCTGCAATTATTTAATTTGTTATTGGTGAATGAAAGGTATTACTGGATAAATATATATTATGCGAGTTTAATCAAGCCAAAAATGTCTCGCCAAGCATTTCTTTGCTGTAATCATAAACATTATCGAACACCATCGAAATTGCTTGCACTTAAATTCGATATTCTAGTAGTTGTGTGTATTTTGTTTTAATTTTCGCACGCAACTGAGTAAGTAGTGTCATTAACGATTGAAAATAATATGACGAACGGCTTCGTCAAGTATAATTGGCTTTTGTTTCGTTACCCTTAGATTCCCATGAATTCGTGGCATCCTAAACCACTCTGTGGGCTCATGCTACATTCGCATACAATGCGCGAATTTGATTGGCTTTAAAATTGGTATTTGCTGCTTCTCCTGCCCCAGACGCGATATTTTAGAGTATGTGAAATGAAAAGCGGCTCTGCGGCAGAATAATTGGTCCGAGTAAGATAACATGGCTCCCTCAGACTGTTACTTTTCCTGATAGTCTGTTGGTCTTGATTCAAACAGATCTGATCCCATTAGTACAACAGTCTTCCTTAATATTAATTTAATATTTGCGTTAAGCAGCCATCAATCAAATCCTCGTGTGATATCCTACCCAACCTTGCTTTGATTTGAAAATGAAGCGGTTTGTTACTTTTCTATTTAGTGAAATTAAAGTACTTGTTGTGTAGTTTGTAACATGACTTTCTTGTAGTGCCTTGTTAACGTTCTATAGAATTTTTATTTAGATTTAGTCCAATATTTTAAAATTTCATTTAGGTATATGAATATAAATGTGTATTGGTGTTTATTACTTCTTGAGGTTAATGTCAATGTTTTTTATAATTAATGTCAATGTTTATTATAATTAATATAAACGAATTATTATAAGGTGTCGAATTCAAAAACACGATTCGATATGTTGTTTCTGGTTTTATTATGTTTTTGTGGATTGTGTAATTTCCTTAGTTCAATGCAACCTGACAATTATAATTAGATGAGTATTTTTTTCGTTAGCCGTGTTAAGCATCGAAATCGTCTAGAGTAGTAATGCTACTTCATCCTCAATATTTCTACACATAATTACAGTCCTTGCATTCCGTACATTTTCCATATATATTGGGCGATTTGATTTGGTTAATTGTGTCAGCTTGTTTTGTGAACATCTCTATTTCTGACAATTTATGTCACATATGCTACAGTAAATGTTTGTTTTTCTTTACATCTTTGATAACCAAAGGCTAATCTCATACTGATATCGTCCAGTTAATAGGGTTTCCGAATAAAGATCCTCTTGTTTTTGATTTTTTGTCAGATATTCGGAATCCTCTGGTTTTATACACGTAGAACCATGAATAATTTTGGCCGCTAACCCCGACTTTTTTTCATAATTTTATTAAATATAGCTTAAAAAGCCATACTTGAAAATCATATAAAATCCTTGTTATTTTTTCATAGTTTTTGAAAGAAAATGGTGCCAATGTTAAATGTATGAAAAATCTAGAGAGAATCATTTCCCGTCAATTTTTCAATGGCTTATATCTCGAAAACAAGGATACGGACCCTTAGTTTTTTCTGCTTTTTAAATTCCGTCATTTAAATAGTACTATCAATTTATAACTGTCTTTTAAAAAGCTTGTTACTTTGAAACAGAGTAGCGAACATCCTTAACTTACCTTCATTTAGTTCTATTTTTAAACATAATATCTTAAATATCTTTTGGTTACACAACAGGTTGATAAAAAAATTAGAAGAAATATAAATTTTGATTTGTCATTGAAGAGATTATATATGTTTTTAACCTGCAGAATTAGTTCTTCAACTACTTCGAGTATTCCATTGAAATCATCTTCATTTTGTTGTGTTTGTATTGTACGTGTACCTTTGTGTTTATTCCTTTTGGCATTTTGATACATCAAATATATTTAGACAATCCTACATGAATATACTGTTTCAATCTTGACTTTTAAGCCTCTACATTAGTTCTCTGTTCCACTCATCTTTGACGACAATGCAAAGGGAATCCGCTGTTTCTTATTTATAATAAGAATATTATCGAAACATGATTCCCATACCATCGTATTTTTACCTTTATATGGACACTAATTTAATAAGTTATCCAAGTACATGTAGATTTGATAATTTCACGAACAAAAGTGTAAGTATGATAAAAAAAAGCAAGAAAAAGTATATATTTTGGAAAATTGACAAAATATATTTGCGTTACATTTGACAAATGTTCCTGTTTCCTGTTTTCGAATTTTCATGATAAACCTCATAGTTTATTTACTCAAAATAATAATTTTTGGTCATGAAATTTTGTCAGTTTTCGTACAAAATCAAGTTTGTCGTATTTAATAAATTGTTACAATTGATAAATGTTCCGGTTTCCTATCTTCGGAGATTGTACATGTGTATGATAAAATCTTAGTTTTTGCCTCGGACTTCCAATTTCTGGTCATGATATTTTTTCAGTTTTCTAATACAGCCATGTTTATGATGTTTGAAAAAGAGTTATATTGGAGCAAAAGGTGATGCTTCTTCAATAACATATATATTATTAAAATTTATCAGTTTTCGTTGTCGTTTATAAAAACAAAAGCAATGTTTTTAACAAAACCTCGTGTATTTTCACCGCTAATTATTTGGTTGACTTTTAGTATATAAAATATGATGACATTCAGGACACACAAACACTCGGGTAGAGTCTGTTGCAATTTTGTTGATGTTTAAGCCTTTCTGCATACAATGACTAGACTTAAAATTTCAGAAGATCACAATCGCATTTAGAACACCGGTGATTTTGTTATTGTTTAAATTACTTTTAATTGATATTGTAGAGTTGGCTACTGAAACAACATGAAGTTGGAAGGAAGTTCTTTTGAGATAGGATTGTTGTTTTTACTGTGATTTATTTATACTTAATGTGTACACAGAACCTCCAGAATTTTTCTATTTTGAGTTGATATTGATATCTACTCAACACGAATTCTAATTTAACAACAAGGAGAAACAAAGATATAACATTCTTGTTCCTTCAAATATCTGATTGCAAAAATGGCGGGAAATTATACAAATGATGAAATGTCGCTAGACGACTTTAATAATAAGGAAACAACGAAAAGAACATCGGCAATCGTTTATTTATCAGTTGTTATGGCCCTGGGTATTCCTGGAAATTTATTAGTGATCATAGTATACTTTGGGTCACTCGGGCGACGAGACGGGACACATTGGATGTACATCCGGGCTTTAGCTGTTACCGACTTAATGGTGTGTATGGTTGCAATACCGTTTGAATTGTTCCAACAAACGCATCAGTTGACATTTTATTCTGCAGCAGGATGTAAGATCTTCAGATCAATAAGCGTACATTTATCCTTGACATCGTCTCTTCTTTTAATTGCCATGTCAGGAAATCGTCTTAGACGGGTATGTCAACCACTAAAAAGACAACTAACTATGAATCAAGGTTATGTGACAATTGCAATCGTAGTTGGAATTGCCTTGTTATTTTGTTGGCCGGAAGGAGCGTTGAGTGGGATAAGCTTGGAAAAATTAGATAACAATTTGACAGGATATGATTGCAGCTTTTCAGACCGATTTAGCGGGGAAAATTACACAATGATATACAGTACTGTTCTGTTAACAGTCTATATTTCCTGTATGCTTGCACTTGTTATTATGTATTCAATAGTTGGACGAAAAGTGATCGAACGAACCAAATTTCAAAAATCTCTTCGAAGAAAATATTCAATATCACCGTCATCTGCTGCCACAGAGGCAACCGCAAGTAACAACCATACCACCGACACAATGGACTATAAAAGTGAATGTGAGGACGAGAAAAGCATCGCTATTGAGATAATTAAACATCCAGGAACAACGGAAAATAATGACAATAAGAAACATAAAGGAAAGCGGAAGACAGTTTCAGAAAAGAAACCATCGAAAAAGGTTACACGGATTGCATTCGTCATTAGTTTCTGCTTTATACTGAGTTACTTGCCATACGTAGCAGTTAAACTGAATGCATCTGTCATAAAAGGTCGCTTTATAAGAACACCGCTTACGAAAGCCATATTTCCTATCCTAGCCAGAACGTATATAATTAATAATACGGATTTCTCGATCCGACGTTTTTACAAAATTGCAAAATGACAATAAAACAAATCCTATGCATGAAATCTCAAAACTGAAAGTATTTTATTTTTAAATATGATATGTATATAAATAAAACAAAAACTTTGATATTACATGAAGTATTTAGATCACTGTATTTGTTGTTAGAACAAACTAACGCATTGATTGCTGAGAATGTTCAACTGTCATATGAAGATAGATTGATTAACTATGGATGCCCAACACATCCAGCAGCATTTTTCACATGCATCTTTCGGACGATAACATTTAAGTTTCATACGAAAATAACCTTCATTTTCTTAATAACTACTCTGAGTAAATTTTGTTATTATACTTTATGCAAATTTCTTATATCATTGATTCATCTCATTGGACACGCGGCATTTGTTAATTTTCACTAACCTTTCATAAGCCCCGCCCACCCATAACAACAAGTGATAATATTAGCAACGGGTGTAAATACCTAAAATATACACCCGCCTGAGCCCGAGGTTTCCCAGTTCGGAACAATTGACACCCGCTACGGCCGAGGTTACCGATTCTTATTTCTACATCATTTCCGTCGTTTTGTTGTTGTTATTGAAATAACTTAGACAACAAAAAATGACAGTGGAACGTATATTAGAATCTATATAAGAAAACATAACATAAAAGTAACCAAGGATGTAACGTTACATACGAAACAATAAAGTATAACGCTACGTTACACGTAATTAAAGTCATTACAGTTATTAGTAAATGATCTTAATTTATAACTTTATATTTTTACAATTGTCCTTCTAATAACATAATGCACACTTGAATTATAAGGCATTCTGTATAATAAAATTTTAGAAATGTATGTTGTAAATGATCATGTACCGAAGTGCTGATTATTTGGCTGATGATACCTCGGGGAATAACACCCTCGGTGAAAAAATTATCACCCGCGACTTCGTCTTGGGTGATAATTTTTTCTCTCGTGTGTTTATCTACCCTAACACCTTCATCCAAGGGCAGTATGTTTATATTAACGTAATAACTCTCAGGGTCGATACCACTGCTGGTGGGCTGTTATTCCCCGAGGTATCATCAGCCCAACAACTGTCATATTCCTGACTTGGTACAGGCATTTTCGTATGTAGAAAATTGTGGATTAAACCTGGTTTTATAGCTAGCTAAACCTCTCACTTGTGTGACAGTCGCATAGAATTCCATTATATTGACAACATTGTGTGAGCAAAACAAACAGACATAACAGGTAAAATTGTCAAAAATTGGGGTACAGCAGTAAACATTGTGTTATAATCGTAATCACTATAATAACAAATAACTATTTCAACAAAGAAAAAAAATGGCATATAGACACTCTATAGACAAAGTACATAAGCAAAACATTAAGACAAGAATACAAAAAATAAATATAGCACAATAACACAATGGCGGGATGTATAAATACCGAGCCACGCCAAAAGTGTATTACCGAAAAAAGACTAAACATTAAAGGTTTTAAATATACAAAGACAAATAAAAAGAACACTATAACACGTAATTAAGATGATAAACAACGTCAGTACCTAGAATCTATACTTCAAGACCATCATGTATTCTTTGTGAAGTTGATACGGAATATTTATCAACAAGGTCTTGGTATCTTCCGATAAACTTTTTTTTAGAAAACGGACATCAACAAGGTCTTGGTCTCTTCCGATGAATTTTTTTAGAAAAAGGACGAGACATTCTTTGATATAACCCTGGTTCATCAATTTTCTGCTCAGACACTGGTGGCGTCTTATAAAGTCTGAGTAGCAGCTGTAAGCTGTTGAACACAGAATGCGTTGGGAAATGTATATCCCATATGCAGGTGAAGTTGTTATTATGCTGCTAAGGTGGGAGAAATTTGTAATTTGAATTTAAAAATCGTTGTAGGAGTCTATTGTTAAAGGTTTCCACATATATTTATGGCAAAGCCTGTGTTGAAAATGTACATTTTAGCTGTCTATAACATGTTGCACGTGATATAATGTAACTGACACATTTAGCATGGTTACAGCTCAAGATAGTGACTAATGATAATATTTATTAAAGCTCCAAAGTCACAGTTGTATCGTAATCTATACATTAATTTCATTTTAAGACCCACCAATTGATTCAATCGTCACTAAGTGTGAGCATATTTATTTAAGGTCATTTCCAAGGTTGATTGCGTTTACGATGCTGTAATGTGTAATTGAAGGTACCAAGATATTATAACACTTTTTTTGTACTTGATACATGTGTTTATCTATGAATTCATATTTTAAAAAGTGTCAATGTTATCTCGGTTATGAATAATTCCTTTATGGATAATTTGTTAATACAGTTAACGTACATACACTGCACCTGGCAGTTTTAAAATTCTATTGAATTCATTGAGGAAGCAGTTATAAAGTTCACCCATATAATAAACATATTTATTTCTTTTTGTATATAATAAAAATGAACACAGTCGGTCTGATATAACAGATTGGTGAATAAACCTATGGCAACCTAAACGTATCATTTTTTGGTTAATAAGGTAATTGTAAATCGTTAATATACAATTAATTATGTCAGTGGTATCTGTAATATTCTTCATAACTTCAATTCGCTTAATCGAGATCCTGCAGTTATATCTATTTTTATTTGCTTCTGATAGTTCAGTACTTTTACTATACTTTGGTTTCTCCCACCAACAAACTAAAAAACCGCGCCTTTTCAAAAAATCCCCATACCGTTGGGATTTTAAATCTCGAATGATAAAAATGCTGCTTTATATCGTGGTATAAGATAAAGACCTTTGGTTTTTGCAATAATTTTCCCTTATTGTCGTGTGTTTAAGCACAAAATTATCAGGAAAACGAGTACCAATTGGTTCCAATGAGAACCCTTGACGGGTAATATATGTACAATGATTAGATACATAGAGTCTTTAGTTTTCTATGTTGTGTTTTGTATGATGTTGTTTGTCTTTTGTTTTTTTTCTATTTTTGCCATGGCGCTGTCAGTTTATTTTCGACTTATGAGTTTGAATGTCCCTTTGGTATCTTTCGCCTCTCGTATACATATAAGTAGCAGTTATTAATTAAAATAGCTTAAAAATCTTGAAAACAATATAAGTTACCAAGTGGTGAAGTTGAAATTTTACGGACGCCATCATTAGTTAGTTGACCATTATGGAATATCTGTTTCACAGAAGAGGACAGATATTTTCCAATTTTCCATACCACAATCCCGAATCGAAAGTAACTTACTGAGTTAACGTTGGACTTATCACCGGGTTTGTCCTTACATGAGCAACACGACGTATGCCACATGTAAAGCAGGATCTACTTATCCTTCCGGCGCACCTGAGATTTGGCCATGTCATTATCAGTTTGTTTTCGACGTATGAGTTTGAAAATCCCATTGATATCTTTCGCCTTTCTTTTAATAAACGTATAAAATATACCATAATTTTAGTGTTCTACAGTTGAACAAATGCATGAATCAGAAGCAAGGTCATATCTTATGCGAGAAAAAGTAAGAAATGCTACAATATGGTATGAGAGTGATTGTTCCATAAAACATATTCTAGTGATAAGGTTATCAGGAGCATGGGATAATTTGCTCAAATATTGCTACTAGCTTATGGTTCATATGGACCCTTCGGCTAAAACGGCTGCTTTTTCACCTCAAAATTTACTCTGAGTACAGACAAACCTGTGCATCTGGAAAAGTTTTAAGGCATAGCATGCCCTTGATAAATAAAATTCAAATGCATTGTATTTTTTAGAAAATTTAAAACTTATCTGGATTTTGCAGTGCACTTTTTTTCGTCCCTGCAGAAGATGATAAAATTAACAAACAGTTGAGTTTCACTTGATATGGTCCACTAAGGTACAAAGTTTAAATCACCAATTATTGTCAGGTATCTATTGTCCATCTTTGTCCATGTCAATCAATACAGTTCACTTCAATTATTAACTGTGGGGAAGTTCTCAAACTTCTTTCACAACTTAGTTTATTTTGGCACCTTTTGGAGGAATGAAAAAAGTGCACTGCAAAATCTTGTTAAGTTTTTAATTTTCTAAAACATAAAATATATGTGAATTTTATCTTTCTAGGGCGTGCTATATCTTAAAACTTTTCAAGATACAGATATTTGTCTGTACTCAGAGTAAATTTTGAGGTAGGAATGCAGCCATTTTAGTCAAAGGGTCCACATGAACCTTAATCAAGGGTATATAGACGAAGAAAGCTACTTGGTAGATAGAGCAAATGAACACATATTGCAGATCTCTAGATGCGAGAGTCACCAAGGGCATATGCTATAAGTATACGTAAACAAATATATATATATATATACATTTACAGTCAGACCTGCCTCAACGTTCACCTAGTTTCAGCGTGCTCTTGCCTCAACGTTCACCTCGTTTTAGCTTTCACCTGCCTCTGACGGTCACTTTCAGACCCTCCAAAATGTTTTCTCTATATTTTAACTCTTTTCAGCGGTCAATCTGATTTTCGCACGAAATCGTCATTTCAACTTTAAAAAACGACCATTTTTATGTTTTTAACAGCCAAACTATAATCATGACGAAAATATATGTGTTCAGTATCGAGGTCAAAATGAGAATCGGAACCAAGAGCTAGCAATTATAGGTGCTCAAAGTTTTATATACATATATGAATTTGTAGCAATTAAGTGCAAAAAAAGAATTGCTTCGTGCTAATTTAATGAGTCTAGCCATGTCGAACTGATGTTTTACAGTTTAATCTTATATTGTGCTGTTCTTCTCTGTCCCGTGTCATGAAGAGGGTTCAGCACTCACAAACACATTTAATCCCGCCATATAATATATGTGCCTTTCCAAAGAAAGAAGCCTGTAATTCAGCGGTTGTTGTCGTTGCTGTCTATCATATTTGTTTTTCCATTATTATTTTACCATAAATCACGCTGTTGTTTTTTTTTCGTATGGAGTTATTGCCATTTTCTCATGTCGGGATATTCTCTAGCCGTCGTGTATAAAACTACAGTT